CCAAGTCCAGTGGTTTTTTTTTTTTTTACGGAACCAAAAGAAAAACATAACAGAAACAGAAACCTAACAGGAGGGCATTGAGATTGCCTGGACAACTAAACAATCTCACAATACACTTAATAACAGAATTAGCTCTATGTATAAGAAAAGTTTAACCCATCACATCGACTTAATTTTTTTTAATCATCTCATATAATGGGCTTGACATTAAAAGATACACAGAAAACCTCCAAAACTTCCTTATACGGCAATAAAAATCCAGAAAACAGATTTAAGCTCAAATCTTCAAATATTAAACAAAATTAAATATCAAATCAATATTTAACTATACAAGGAAACATTTACATCCTAATTGGATGTATAGAATAAGAGTGATTAACTTAATTATTATTTGACTGTATAGTACCTCTTGAATCCAACAAACATGTGAAAGTGGATAGGAAAGCCTCCAGTTTAGCAGGGTCAGCTTGTGCATCAGCAAAGTGGTCAATGCCAAGGTTTGTTTTAATGCTTCTGGTCGATCCAGTGTAGAGTAGACTCCAAAAATTGCAGACAGAAAATGTAGGATAATGGAACACTCATAAACCTTTCCTGATGTCAAAAATTAACATTAAGAAAGGGGCTAGGTTGGGAGACAACCAAAACATGCTTGCATGGTTTGCTGTTAAGTTATATCTGATACAGGTGTCACTAACCGAGTGAAAAACTTGGCCAATTTAGCATTAGTATAGTGAGCCCTGAAACATGCCGCTGCGGTCACCTTTTGGCTGTCAAAATAAGGCTAATTTGGAAGAAATTATTCCTCATTGGGGAAATATCCAGTTATAATAGCACTTATTTTGTGAATAAAGCCCTAAATGAGTTTCTGGGTTTTGAATAAATGATGATGAAGGCAGCAGGGTTCCTCCATTCCGTCTTTCCTAGTGCATGGATTTCTGTCAAGCATATCTGGTAGGAAACACTGGTCTTCAGTAATTGACTTGTACCATTTCATGTGCTGCTGGTCACCTTTTAGGATTGAACAGTGCAATTCTTGCATTCAAGCATCAATCTGCAGTAAGGGTCAACCACCTCCAGACAGCCAACCACAGGATACTCCTAAACTAAAACACTCACTCAGATCACAGGAGATCCAGGATCTTTTCCAAGTTTATAATTCTTTTAACTTTAAAAAGACAACAGCCAAACGAAAAGAGGAAGTGGAGCAGCTGGTGGGCTGTTGTAGAGATAACAGCCTGATCCTGAATGTGGAGAAGACGAAGGAGACCATCATCCTACTGATTGTATGGGTTGGACAGGTGTTCTTATGCCGTTAACGACCTCAAACAGGTGCATCTAATTTAGGATAATAAATGGATTGGAGCTGGAAATTTTGAAGGCAGACTTACAGTTCTTTAAAGGTCATAATTCTTTCCGATAGAAGTTGTTCAAATACTTATTTTCAGTTGTATCATTCGATAGTTAAAAATCATATAGATTTCTGGATTTTTTTTTTTTACAATGTTATGAGTATTTCAGACCCCTTCATGATTTCTAAGTGGGAGACATTGCAAAATAACAGGTTGATCAAATACTTATTTTACTCACTGTATTGACACTTTACCTTCATCTAAATTAAGGTTGAAAACTAATCTGTTGCATACCTCCACTGACTGCTTCCACTCTTTTTACTCTCAACACAATACCTTTAATATATTCTACAGGGATTTTATTCCATACACCATCACAAAGTGTCAACTTATTGAAAAGTGAAATGTAAACTATATATTGCTTTAAATTTTTTACATACATTTTTAGTAGCAATTGAATATATCAAAAAATACCAGTTTGTGTTGCACTGTGGTGCTCAGCAAAAATAACAAACTAATAAAAAATGCCCACACTTCTTTTCATAGAACAATCAGCCCCATGCAACTTTTAAAATATCTTCTTATATTCATTCATTCAGTCACTTTTGTAATAAACATTTTTAAGAAACAAGCTGTATTGATATTATATATTCATATGGTTAAGTTTCCTACTATCAAAGAACAGATCATCTGCTTTTTCTATTTACACATCATTGTAGGACACCCTGCCGTTGCTGATGGGTTTCCATAACCAAATCTCAGTAGCAGATTAGCCGAAGCTTCAACATAGTGCACATGTCATCACAGAGCCAAAATAGAAAAGGATGGATAAGGCCGCTGTTCAGAAGGAGCACATTATTGCATTATTGCTCTTTTATTTAAAGGATAACATCAGTTCCACCAGGATGGAGCAAAATAACTGCTAATTTAGCCAATTTCCAAAGCAGACTGAGGGAGATATTGAAGAAATCCAGTGTTTATTACCTTTAAGGTGAGAATATAAATCGGTATCTACTGAACATTTTATATAAACTTATTTATTTCATTAAAAAGGACATAAAAAAATGCAAGGACTTAAATATATTACAAGGTCTGATGTGAGTGCTTATGAATAGAATAACTCTTCATCTTTAAAATATTCTGAAACTCTGCCCCAAAACTGGCCCAACCAGTTGATGTTAAAAGTGCTCTGTATGCTAACGTCACCATGTAAGAAGACGATGCCCTTTAACAGCTGCTTCATACGGTAGAAATAGCTCAGACATTAGTACTGGAAGTTGTACTCTTAGAGCTGATGCACACCTGGGTGGATGATGGCTGACAACTACCAGTATCGTGTTTTCATTAGGAGTAACAGCATTCTCTCAGATGAAAAAAAGAAGAAAATAGAAAATTATTTACAAGTTCGGCGCAAATCTAGAGGAGGAGAATGTGGACCACTCACACCTGTGGTTGATGGGAAAAACACCTACTGTGTAGCTTTTAAAGATCAAAAAGGTACCTGTTCTAAATTCCTCTTTTAATTTGATTTATTGCAGATTTAAAGAATCACCTCAAAAGATGTCATGATGAGAGATAGTATATAGATTTATACTACATTAATTTTTGAAATTCTGTTCACAAAACATGTTTCATTGGAGAGAATCTAATTAATGATCCACACAGAATCTGAGCACATATTTGATATTTTTTTAATATATTGTTTAACCAAATTTTTAATTCTGACATTGTCTCTTATTTTACCTCACAATACAAACTGTGAAATAAATGAACACACTTTTATTTAATCCTGCCTATAGTGGTTCTTGTACTGTGGAGGTCCTGCTTGATTTAAATAATTTTTGTGGCGCATTTTTTGCAGCACAACAAGAAGTACTGGAAAGACGTGAGCACACAGTAGAGCTTTCAGATGGTCCTCTGGTGTTTATTGTCACTGACAGCCCACCAACTCCAGGTCAGTGCAACATTCGATTTAAGCCAGGATATGTTAATTGTACATAGTATCTTATGTAAAAAAAAAAAAAAATCTTTATTTGTGATGTTTATAAAAAAAGTAGGGCAAAACAATATTTGCTTTTAATAATTTCTCAAAGCTGTAAGAAAAACTTATTTTTTTTTCATAATTTGTTGCCAGAAATACAGATATTATATAGAAACAGAACACCGCTGGAGGTGTCTGCAGAGTTTTGATTTACAAGGAGTAGAAATTATTTTCAGTCATGAGTAATAACTTCTTTTAAAATCAGCTTAATCTAAATATATGTTGGAGATCAATAAAGAAATTATCCAACACCACATATGAAGATGGAATCTGATGAAACATCAGCCAGCTTTAGGAATTTCAGACCACTGTATCATTTGAAGAAGATGCATAGATCTTAAAAAATTATTGAAGTGCTAAATTATTTTACTTCTAAAGCAAAGTCTAAAGTTGTTTTGTACATAATATAATTATTAAATTGTATTAGGGCGAAACATGAACTATAGAATTATATTTTATTATATTTATTATATTCATAGGTAACCTATGATGGATAATATTGTACTGACAGACAAGTCAACAGGTCCCTTTGTTTTCCAGTTGCAGCCTCGCCTCCGTGAATTAATTGCTGAATGACTGAATGTAGTGTGAAGGGATTTGGAATCTTCTGACTTAGTGAAAACTATACTAGTAAAGGCCATATAAAAAGACACAAAATTGCCTGGAGGAATTCATGCAGTCTTTTTTAGCAGATATTTCATGACAATAAAGATTTAAAATGTTTATTTCAGTGCTTATACGGGCCTTCTGTTCTATTAGAAAAATATTTTTCAGGTTAACACCAGAATGTTGTTGTGTTCTGAACTGGTTTGCTCGGCTGAACCTCTTTCTTGTTAGCATTAATGTGGAGTTTACTGTAAATCACTAACTTGCAGCACTGCAATCACTAACAAATTTTTTTTTTTTATAATTTGTGCTGTTGCACATGACTCGGGTCACACCCAAGTTTTGATAACTTTCCACAATTTTTTTTACATAAGTTGTCAACTTTCTTTTGAATTAATGCCTTCTTTCCCTCTGAGTAGACTTTCATTACATGTCATAACAGTACTTGCTTCATTAAAGAGAATGACTCACTCTAAGCAGCTTCAGGCAGCATCATAATAAGATCTTTTGTTTGGGTTTTGGGTGTGTATGCACATTCCGGACCAAAGCATATTAATCTCTGCAACACAAAAATGTCTTTCTCTTACTGTTCATAGCAGTGTTTCCAACTGAATTAGAAATTTTAAAGAAACTTTTAAAAGTCCCGAAACTAGGAAAAGAGAATTTGCATTGTTTCCATTTACGTCATTGCAACATAACGCATGGTTATAATAAGCAGGAAGTAAAAGCTGCAAGCTAGCACTGACCACAGATCAGTAATGGCTAGTAATGGCGATATTTCTTCAAGTCATGTTTACATGCGTAATAGAAACATTCAAGAATATGCCAAATGCAGAAACAGCTAACCAGTCATGTGAGGTGAAAGCTCATAATGCCAGAGGTGATTCTAAAAAAGTTTTTCCATCTCCTGTCATTGAACATACAGTTATTAACTTAAACAACATAAATTTAAATGAATGCATGTTATTAAGTAATCATCTATCAATTCCAAAAACAGTCTCAAAATGCTCCAAGACAGAGTTTTTGAGGAACACTGGGGTATAGGACCTAATAAGCGAAAATTAAAAATGCCAAAACATAGTTTAACATTCTTAGTAAAATGAAGTTGCCTTAACACATTAATTGCATGATTTAATAGATTTAAAAAGAACCTGTTACATAAAGCCTATTTTTTCCTATGACCTTTCAGCACCTATGTATTTATGTGTAACAGTGAGCAAATGCATGTAAAAAATTGTTTAGACTTAGAATTTTAAATATTAACAGAATCATTAAAAAAAAAAGTATAATAACTTTGGTTTCTAAAAATACTGTCTATGTACATTCATACCTTCATAAATAAGTAATCGAGCTATTGTTGCCTTGCAGACCTCACAAGAAGAATCGTGATTTTGGGAAAAACTGGATCTGGAAAGAGCAGCTTTGCAAACACCTTGTTTGGAGAGAATGTGTGTAACCCAAATCATTCTGCAGTATCTGGAACTCAACACTGTCAAGCAGAAACAGGAACAGTCAATGGGAAAAGCATTAAACTCATTGACACTCCTGGTTTTTTTGACACTGTCAGAAGTGACAAAGAGATGAAGGATGAAATCTTAAAATGTTTTATTGAGAGTGCTCCTGGTCCTCATGTTTTTATAATTGTACTCAGAGTGGGTAAATACACACAGCAAGAGAAGGAGATCATTAATAAAATGACTGAATATTTCTCGGAAGAGGCTCTAAAGTTCACCACAGTGCTTTTTACCCATGGTGACCAGCTGCCCGAAGGAACAACAATTGAGGAGTTTGTCAGTAAGAGTAAAGATTTAGATGAACTTGTAAAGAAATGTGGCGGCCGCTGCAACGTCATTGATAATAAATACTGGAAGATCCCTCAGGATGGCTACAGAAGCAATGAGGTCCAGGTTAAAGAGCTTTTAAACACGGTAGACAGGATTATTGAGGGGAACAGTGGTCAGCCCTACACCAAAGAGATGCTAAAGAAATTAAACACAGATTTAGAAAAAGAGCAGGAACGCATTAAGGCAGAAACTCCTCATCTTTCACGACATGACATTAAAGAAAAAGCTAAAGCTGTGGTCCAGGAGAACTGGGCCCAGAAATTTTTAAACGACACTAAAGAGGTCTTACTTAAATCTTTTCTGAGTGGTGGCTCCTACTACTACTGATGACAGCGGAGCAAATACATCTTGGACTTAGGACAGGTGTTATATTAGCAGGTAAAACAGGATCAGCTGGAGAAATAGGTCAGTCTGGAAAGGAAGCTTCAGCAGAAAAAGTATCTATAAAGAAGAGGCAGGTGAAGGAGAAAAGGTGTAGTTGTGAATTAAATGACCTTCATTTGAAAATAAAATGTTACTATTTGACTCCATTATATTTTCATTGACCTTATTTTCTTTATGGTAAAACTGGACATTAAAAAAGAATGACATGTATGTTTTACTCTTCTTTTTATAATGATTTAACTAAACACTTTACTTGTATCATTTTTACATTCTTACTGTACAGACAGATCAATTACTTAACTTGATGAAATTGTATTACAATATTTTTTTAGGTTAACTGGTCAAATTCCAATCAAATTATTTCCATATTATTTGATTTTAAAAATGTCTGCTTCACATTTTCTTTCCTTGATTAGAATGAATTTAAATCCTCTATGTCACAAGTTTATATTCCAAAAGTTTGATATAAACTTCACTAAACATTTTGTTAAGTTTTAGGTAGCATTTTGTGTTGATATATTATGATTCCACAGAAATAAAATTATTAAATGGTTTCTCATGTTTTTTTGCTCCGAAATTTGTAATTATGTAAATGAAAATAAATGATTTTAAATGCAGTATTGCCTAGTGAAATACTTCTTTCTTCATGGGGCATTCAGAAGTGATGTCTGGACAACAAGACATTCTCATGTTACACTTAATAAGAACAATAAGAGCATAAAAAAGACAACATTGATAACAAAAACATATGGTAGAGAAGGAGGAAAACTACATTTTCCTCAGTAGACATAATGATATTAATAATAAAAAAAAATTAACCCTTATTTGTTTCTGCTTTGCCAAGAAAAGATAGATTTAGTGAAACAGGTTTTGGTGATAATTTATCTCAGTTTTAGGGTCACAAATAATCTGCATTGGCCCCAGAATATTTTTTAATCATGTGGGCCAGCAGGAGTCCATCCAATAACATAAAGTTTGTGTCTAGTGGGTGTTAAATTTCCTCTGTTGGTGTTTAATGTATAGAGTATGGTGTTTAGTCAGGATTTTTTTCAGTCTAATTCATCTATGCCAGAGTTAGTTCCTTAAAGACTCTGCGTTTATCTATGCAGTTGAATAAAAAAAAAAACTCTGTTTACTATTGATTTTAAAATAAGTAGTTTCTTCCCAAATACCAACCTGTGTACTCTTATCTCTTAAAATGCACACCCTGACAAAATCACTAATGCATAGGAAGCAGTAGTCTGTCCTGTAGCTGGAGGGTGCCCTGTTTCAATCTCAGCTTAGTCATTGTGTCCTTCTGTATTGATGGGTTGATTAACTGATGTATTCACGTTGGATAAGGTAGTGCCTGTTTAGAACATTCTCGCATTTGTCAGCGTGCCCAGGGGCAGCTGTGGCTGCAATGGATTAGATAGCATGGGGGTTAATTTCAGCTGTTATGCTACTGATAGCTCACTGATTCTTGAGAATTGGGAGAAAACGGCAAGCAGTGGCAGAGTCCAAAGGGGAAATCCAAAGCCGGGGTCAGAAGACAGGTCCAGGTTCAGGAAGCTGGTAGAATCCAGGAATCAATCCAAAACAGATCAGACAAACATAAGAGACAGGGGCAAGGCAAAAATCAGGATCCACAGGGTAGAAACAGGTCACAATCAGGAAAACATTTCATAAGTCAATAAATTCACAATTTGAAGTTACACTTTGCACGTTACACTTTGCTTTAATTTTATTGCAGATAAGCACGGCTAGTCAAAAACTGTCTATTCTGGAGCAAAGGAGAAGAAATAGAGAACATTAGCAAAAGAAGAAGAGGAAAAAAATAAAGACCTTGTTAGAAAACATGAGATGGAAGACACTAGCGTAACTTTCTGAAGAACACCAATATTTCCCCTTGTTTTGCCCTTTCCACTGATTTACTTTAATCAACAGTAACTGGGGTTGGGTGCAGCTAACTGTGTTCAGAGCATTTTTAGTCCGTGTTTTTTTTTCTCCCTCTCCTGTTGCTCTCGAGTCCCCCCTCTTGAAAACATCATCGGATCTGTCGCTTTGGGACATAATATTATTTGGGGTCTCTATTCACTGCATACAGAGTAGTTACGTGGAGAAGGAAAGACACAGCAGCACTCAGTGAATTTTAACCAGCTGTCACTTTGATAGATGTTTCAGTAAAAGTTAGGAGACTGTTTGGTTAAAAATGCCATCAAAAAATCAGTTTGTTACACAAACTGAGCTTTTTCAGCAAAAATGGCAACAGGGTGTACATTTATATAAGTTTATAAAGCTAGCCTTCTCAAAAGACAAGTACAGTTACAGAGTTACAGATTAAAATTAACATATATCTGTTTTCTTATTGAACATAGAATCAGGCTGCAGAGCTTCTAGAGATCCTGAAAATTATTTTCTCTGGCATCATTATATTGGTAGACAGGTTCATAAATCTCTTTTTAAGCAGAGCAGAGACACAATTAGGGTCCGCTGCAGATTTAAAGGTGAAACAGATTTACTGGGATATGCAACATGCAATAAAATATATCCCCAAGTTTACAAGAAAAAATATGCTATGCTATAATAAAATTCAACATATCTTCTTGTCTTTTGAGGTTAAAAAAGACTCAGAAATAGTTGTGCCAGCCAACCCAGAGACAGCCAGACTCTCAGGACACAGAAAACTACAAGAATTAAAGTACAAATAATAAAAATTAGAGTGTTAAGGATTTTTGAAATACAAGGTTCAAAACATAGACTTTGGCTGTCAATGACATATTGGACAAATTTCTAAATTTGTCATGATGGGTCTCTGTGATAAAACCCACATGCAGAACACCAGACAAAGCTGGGTAAAAGTTTAACAGTTTATTAAAAGATGCAAACACAGAGTTAATTAATACTGGTTTTGGTACTGGTCCGAGACTTGGTTTCACAGAGTAATCTGCAGAGAGGGATAGTTTGGTTAGCCAGATGGCAACGATGACTTGGCAGAGTTTAGATCTTTGTTTGTACCTAATGAGGTTCAGACTGTGCAGTGGAGAGAGGGAACCGGTTGGGTCCAGAGACTGGGGTTCCAGCAGAGAGTTCAGCAGCGACAGAGCTTAGCTTCAGGCTAGCGAGATTCAGACCTTGGATTGATCCTCTAGTTCTCTCCTGAGAACTAGCTGGAATTTTCAGGCTGAGGATCTTCAGGTTTGGCTTCCTTGGGCAGACAGGCAGGTTTCCAAACATGAGCTCCTCCAGAGCTACTGAGTTCAGTCAGGTTTCTTGTGAGCAGAGGTTTGAGGCTCAGGTTCCGCTAACCAAAACTGGTCAACACTCCGGCGCTGAAGACAGGTCTGGTCACTGCTTAAGTAGGAGTTCTCCTGATGGGCTGATGATCCTCAGGTGTGCGGGAGGCTCCAGCTCAGGAGACCCATAGCGCTCTCTGCTGGAGACAGGTGGCAGATCTCCAGATCCCAACAGTACCCCCCCTCAACGACCGCCTCCTGGCGGTCCAGAGGAAGTGGACGGGAAGGAGTTCCTATAGTCCTCTATGAGGGACAGATCCAGGACAAAAGAGCCAGGATCCCAGGTGCGGTCCTCCGGATCGTAGCCCTCCCAGTCGACGAGGTACTGCCAACCGCAACCTCGACGACGGGAGTCCAAGATCCGGCAAACAGTGAATGCCGGATGGCCGTCAATGTCCCGGGCGGGTGGAGGGGAGTCGGACGGAGGGCAAAGTGGACTGGTGAGTACTGGCTTGATCTGGGAGACGTGGAAGGTGGGGTGAACACGGAGAGATGAAGGCAGGTGCAGGCGGACAGCAGATGGGTTGATGACCTGAGCAATCTTGTACGGACCTATGTATCTGGGGGAGAGTTTTTTTGACATTGATTTGAGCGGGATGTCACGGGTCAAAAGCCATACCTCTTGTCCAGGGGTATACTCGGGTGCGGGACGACGACTCTTGTCGGCGTATCTTTTGTTTTGGATGGTGGAATAGTTGAGAGCAGTGACGGTTTCGTTCAAAATCCTATGGCAGCGACGGATGTGGTGATGGACGGACCTGACTGATATCTCTCTCTTGTCTGCAGGGAAGAGTGGTGGTTGATAACCGATGGATATCTGAAAAGGAGATAAACCAGTTGCAGCGGATCTTTGGGTGTTATGCGCATATTCTACCCATGCCAGAAACTGACTCCAGTCAGTCAGATTATTGGAGGTGAGGCAACAGTGAGTGGATTCGAGCTCTTGATTCATCCTCTCTGTTTGACCTTTCGTCTGAGGATGATAGCCAGAAGTGAGAGAGATTTTTGAGTTTAAGGCAGAACAGAAAGCTTTCCAGACCTGAGAGATGAACTGGGGACCACGATCTGAAAGGATCTCCTAAGGGATGCCGTGCAGGCGGAAGACATGTTTGACCAGGAGCTGGGCGGTTTGGAAAGCTGTGGGTAACTTCCTGAGGGGAACCAGATGACAGGCCTTGGAAAATCGATCGACAATGGTTAAGATGGTTGACATACCCCTGGAGACTGGAAGACCTGTAACGAAGTCCACAGTGATGTGGGACCATGGACGAGACGGAATAGGCAGAGGACGCAGCAGCCCGGAAAGTGGTTGGTGGGTAGGTTTATTCCTGGCACAGATGGGACAGGCCAACACGTACTCCTTCACGTCCGTATGAGGGGATGGTCACCAAAAGCGTTGTGTGATGAGGGCGATGGTTCTACTCACACCAGGATGGGCAGGGAACTTGGCTGCATGCATCCACTGGATGAGACGGGATCTGACAGAAGATGGGACGTAAGTTTTGTTAGGTGGTCCGTTACCTGGGTCAGGTTCAGAGGCCAAAGCGAGGTTGATGAGATCAGTGATCCCCCAGGAAACGGCTCCAACCGTGCAAGTGGCAGGAAGGACAGGCTCGGGTGTTTCAGGTTGGTCAGAAGAGTAAAGGCGAGAGAGAGAGTCAGGCTTGC